TTCCAAACCGAACTCGCTATGACCATTAACAGATTGAAGGGTTGTATGTATCCATCAGTTAGGGTGATATTATAGATCATTGTCATGCCGCTCGTGCATATATGGAGAGAATTGTGCAATATCTCGTGGTATACCCGCCTCCGGCAGTGGTTTATTGCTATTATATTACACCAACTTCATTTCTGTAGCATTTTCGACACTCTCGGCCTTTTTATAAAATAAGAAAGAGTCGTTTTCGAACGACGTGTAATGAGCAGCGGCTGGTCGACACGGTGATCAGATGAAATGGGCCAGTGGCGAATCCAGAGGGGGGGCCAGGCCATCCCCCCCCCAAAAAAAAACGCATGACAATTCATATCATTTGGATAATACGCATAGCTTCTCTGCGATTTACGCTCCGTATATCTTAAGCAAAGCTCCAATACATTTTGCCGGATCCGCCACTGAAATGGGCCCTGGAACCAGTATTTAATTTCTTATCACACACTCGCGCTCAGTACACAGAAACGCACAGAACAGCAAGTTTAGATATCATCACAATCAAAGGAAGTTTATTTCTACAACACAAGAAACTAGAAAATAATTAGAAATTGAATAAACTGAACAAGCTCAACGCTTAATTTACATATGAATAGCTGTGAATAAATTATCATCAGCAGAAATTACCGGCAGCGCGCACTGTGCGCCATTTTTGAAAACATGTGCTGTGGACTTATTATCGTTGTCAAATTTTCTATTTTGTGTTTGTTATGCGACATTAATTGGTCCACTAAAGGTGCAGTTATGGAACAAACAGATGCTGCTTGTGTACTTTGATTGTGGGTATTAGAAATAGAAGCGGTGCCAGATTCTGCGGGAGTTGCTCCAGACGCTACTATGCCGGTGTTTTTGGGGGTACGGATGCCGTTGTCGGAAACATCAGCTTCGATCGCTACGGTCACTTCTCTATCAGAGGATTTGTTTTTATACCAAAAACTGCGAGAAAGGATACTGGACATTCCTTGACTCTGATTATTTGTGAGTTTGTTGGTGTAAGACCGAAACACATAATGTGTCTGGTTTCAACTCCTGCCGAATCTAACATGTAGTGCACGCAGTTGCCCTAACATATGATG